AAAACTTAATAAAACAGAGGAAAATTACCCTTTATGAGTTCTCAACATTTTCCAGGTCTTGTGCTAACACTTATATAAATTAATTTATATAATTTTTTATCATCATTCTTAGGAGTATTTACTTAATCCTCACAACAATTATTTCAACAGCTTTTATCATCTCCGTTTTACAGATGAGAAGCTAAAGTGCTTGGTATGCAAAGACAAAGAATCTGTGAAAAGTAGGGTTATGGTTCACACTCAGGAAGACCAGCTCCAGAGCCTGTGTTCTTAGCAACCAATTCACAGTTCTCTCTGACTGCTCACAGACACACAATGCCCTAAACCAAAAGGGTTCCTTTCATTCTTTTTTGAAATCTGGCATGTAAAACAATGCTTAGTGCAAATGAGTCATATGACAAATAATTATTGATTACTTAATAGAGTGTGTCCTATCTTAATAAATGAGACTGCTCTCCATGCAGGTAAAATCAGAAATGCATATATCTTTCACTATTCTCTCTCCTCAATCTACCACCTTCAGTCACCAGCTTCTCTTCTTTCTAAGTCATAGACTCTCTCCCATCTAATTCCATCCAGCCCTACTGGCAACACCTCATCACATCCACATCAACACTATTTCTCTCCTAGATTATTGTAGTTGTATCCTATACACTTCTCACTCACTCACTCACTCACCATTCCAGTGTGTTCTTCATACTTAAATCAAAGTAAATTTATAATGATGATTATCTGATGGTGACCCTGCTCCCCTTCTTCCTACTAATTGTTCTCAGGGTAAAGTCAGACTCCTTACATAATTTGTAGAAATCCTATATGATGAAACCTGCAACCACAGATTTATTTTTATTATTTTTATTTGTTTATTATATTTATTGGGGATGACATTAATAAGATTATGTAGGTTTCAAGTACACAATTCAATAATACATCATCTGTATATTGCATTGTGTGTTCACCACCCAAAGTCAAATTTCCTTCTGTTACCATATATTTGACCCCCTTTTACCCATATCTATCTCCCTCCTCCCCACTTTGCCTCTGGTAACCACTAAACTGTTGTCTGTGTCTATGAGTTTTTACTCTTTTGTCTTGTTTGTTTGTTGCTTTCAGTTTTATATCCCACATATGAGGGGAATCATATGGTTCTGAGCTTTTTATGTCTGACTTATTTCACTTAGCATGATAATCTCAAGATCTATTCATGTTGTCACAAATGGCAGTATTTCATCTTTTCTTATGGCTGAGTAATATTCCATTGTATATATCTACCACCTCTTCTTTATTCAATCATCTATTGAAGGACATTTTAGTTGTTTCCATGTCTTGGCCGCCATGAATAATGCTGCAATGAACATTGGAGGCATATATATGTCTGTAAGGATAAATGTTTTCAGATGTTTTGGGTAATTAACCAGAAGAGAGATTGCTGGGTCATATGGTAATTCTACTCTTAATTTTTTGAGAAACCTCCATACTGCTTTCCATAGTGGCTGTACCAATTTATATTTCCACCAGCAGTGTCTGAGGGTTCCTTTTTCCCCAGAACCTCTCCAACACTTATTATTACTTGTCTTGTTGATAATAACCACCCTAACAGGTGTGAGATGGTAGTTTATTGTGGTTTTGATTTGCATCATAGATTCATTTTTGTGTCAAATTTGACTACATGTTTTGTTTTAGCTATACTAATTTCTTTTTAATTCATCATATTTTTTTCTGGCCTTTGACTTATACATCTTTTCCTTCCTGTTTGGAAATAAACTCTATACTACTTATGGCTACCATATTTCTTACATTTTCATTGTTCAAGCTTAAATCACATTTCCTCTGTGAAGTTTTCCCTCATCTCAATGATATGCTCCCCTTAGCATACTACCATCCATGCAGTAACAGCAGTGATATGAAAATTTTTGGTAAATATCATTTGTCTAGTACCCACTACAGTGTTACATTCTGTCAATAAAAAGGCCATGTTCTCATCCTGAACCTGACAAACTGGTCAATAATATAAAAATAATGTAATTTTAAGACAAAAAAATAGACTGTCATGCACATGGCTATTAAGAAATCCACTGATGCTTTTCTGTATCAGAACTTATTACCCCAAAGAAACATGGAAGACAAAAATGTAACTGGAATTCATAAGCTCTAGGATCAACATTGGTACAAGTGATCCCTGCACTAAACTAGAACGTGTTTGGCATTTGGAGGAGACAACAAGGACATGCAATGATTTCTTAACTGCGGATGCTGAAGGTTTAGGGGGTGGGAGAGATATCACATAACCAAGTCCTGACATCCATACCTCTGCTGGTATTAGAGTTTCCAGCTTTCTTCATGCATCCTTTGGGAAACAACTGAAAGTCCTGAGGACATTAATTGAGTGGCCCAGATTCTCCTAGAGAGAGGGAAGAGGAGAGAGAGAGAGATTAAGGAGTTTCCCGAGTGGCTGTAAAGCTGAAACTCTGAGGAGGTGATTTCTACATACATAGCTTACTAATGGGGCCTCCTGAGGGCAATATGCAAGAGTCATTTGGACTGAGTCTTCAAATAGAGCAGCAACAGGTCTCTGTTCCAGCAACAAGACCTGAGTGGGTGAGTGCCAGGAACAGAAACATGAAATATCTCCTGTCTCTTATATTAGATGCAATAAAGAAAAACCATTAGGAAGCTTTTTCAGAGGACTACTTAGAGGGAAGTTTCCAGCTGGCGCGGGAAACTACCGCAAAGAGTTTTCCTTCTTTTTCATTAAATATATTCAAGAAACGTGGCTTCTCAATCATACACTTGGATTGGCATCAGGTTAACTGTGAATTCGCTGAATTAAATGTGACATCATGTGCTCTTATCCATTCGCCTGGGTAGAGGTGTATCATTTTTATTAGATCCTAATGGCAGGCTGTGTTTACTTTTGGAACTGCTCTCTTAGAAAGGGCATAGGTAATTTTCAGTGACACTCAGCAGGAGAAACCGAGACCCTGGCCCTGCCCCATTATCCTAGTGTCTATGGTGGCCTATCCCATTAAGGAGGAATGGAGTATATTCCAAGAGTAGATGTGGGGTGGGGGGAAGAATCACACTATCTTCTCTGTTCACTTATTTGGATTTTGTGATGGATTCATAATTTACTATTTTCTTTTGAGGTTGATCTTTTAGAGCCAAAAGAAGCTTTCAGGAACAGAACAACATTTGCATAGTAATTATAATTTAGAGCTTTATGACTTAAATGTGCTTTAATTTTAGGGAACTTCTAATGTTGGTGATTTCTATCTCAACGAGTACCATGCTGATACAGATGTAACTTCAGAGCATTTTGTTACCCAAGAGTTAAGTTCTTTGTGATTTGTCCTGATTCTGATCTACTTCTGATATTAAGGACATCTTATGAAGGAGGAAAGTCCATCACTGCTCAGTATGGAAGTATGCCTCGATGTTTCTGAATGTATGGTGAAATAAGACTGTGGTATATAAGGTAATAGGTTCTTTGTTTTGGGTTGTGGCTATCCATAAAATAGAAATAATGGTGACTAAGATTTTTAGGTTGAGGGGATATTATAATGTGACTAGTCACATGAACCATAGCTCATCAGGAGTTAAGTGTTGGAGAAAAGGAGATAGAGATAAGAGGAAACAAAGAGAAAGAATCTAAACATTCTGTTATGTCAAATGATTTTGGAAAGGACAAGAGGCAGAAAGAGAACCAGTGAACAGTATAAGAGCAATAAGAAAAAAAAGATATGAAGATATTTAGAGGGAAGGAGGAAATCAATCAGGTGGAAAAATAAAAAAGCATCTATCTTCAAAGATGAAATATATATGACATTGGAGCAGTGCTTCTGTGTTCCTGAATCACCTGGGGATTTTGATAAAAAGCAAATTTTGATTCAGTGTGTTGGAAGTGGAGCCCAAGGCTGCCTGTTGAACAAGTTCCCATACTTGTTAGTTGTGGCTGGTCTGTGGCTCACACTTCCGGTAGCCAGCTTCTAGAAAAGTGTCATTGTTGGAGCAACAAAGCAATTGGAAGTGATGGTGACACTTGTTGTATTTCATAACACACTGACATTCAATTTCATAAACAAAGAAAGTGCTTTCAACTGAAAAAAGTATATATTTATCATGATTGTGAAAGATAAAATCAAAATCAAAGTTAAATGTGTCCAAAAGTTAGCGCAGCATAGGGAATGCAGTTAGCATTAATGTAATGGCTGGGTGGAGAGCCAGAGGAGAGAAAGAGCAATGAGGGGGATCGTTTTATAAACTATATAAATGTCTAATCAATGTACTATATACTTGAAACTAATAATAAAAGAAAATTTTTAAAAAATAAAAATAAAATAAAATAAATGATGAATGAGATCGAAAAACTGGATGGGCAGAACTCCCCTGGAGTAATAATTGTGACTGAATGTAGTTTCACTCCAGCAAAATCTTTCAATTGCATAATTGCCCACTGAGCACCCAGAATTTCCCTGGCAATGCCATGTTCTTTAATATCACATCATCCTTTCTTAAGAGATACTTTGACTGTACACCTGCTTCTCAATTAATAAAAAAATAGCAAACACTAAAAAGAAAAAGTGTCCAAAAGTTATCAATCACAGCAATATAGCAGCTAAGTAAGATTATTATTCAATTATACATATTTATCTTATTTGTTGTTATTACTGTTGCTGCAAAAGTTTTTAAGCATGCAAACAATTGTATGACCTGATGTTTTAAAGAATATTATCAAAATTTTTTTTTCGAGAAAATTTTAAACATTAAACCTAATGTTTTCTTCTAATTAAGGAAAGACCAGCATTCCTCAACTCAAGTATAACTTGAAAATATCTACTCTTTTTCTGAAGGCAAATACTTTCAGTTACAGTTACCATACTAACTAATTATGCCCAAGTGTGAAGATTTTGATTGAATAAGATGTGATACATTACTACTGAAAGATCTGACTTTTGGGGTTAAAATTTTCTATAAATCTCCTCTCTACCTGTGAACATATTATGTGGCCCAACATTAGTGCTGCCCCATTTTTGCTGACTGGCTTCCCAGGCTTGGAGGCAGTTCATCACTGGATCTCCATCCCCTTCTTTGCGGTCTACGTCTCTGTGCTTCTTGGCAACGGCACCCTCCTCTACCTCGTCAAGAATGACCACAGTCTCCATGAACCCATGTACTACTTTCTTGCCATGTTGGCAGGCACAGATCTGATGGCGACCTTGACCACGATGCCAACTGTAATGGGTATCTTATGGGTGAATCATCGGAAGATAAGCCACGGAGCCTGTTTCCTGCAAGCTTATTTCATTCACTCCCTTTCCAGTGTGGAATCGGGTATTTTACTTGCCATGGCCTATGACCGTTTCATTGCCATCTGCAAACCCTTACAATACACTTCCATTCTCACCAATACTCGAGTGGTAAAGTTAGGGATGGGAGCTTTTATGAGGGGTTTTATAACCATCATGCCTGTAATCTTGCGTCTTTTTTCTTTTTCATATTGTCACTCTCATGTTCTCTCCCATGCTTTTTGTCTTCACCAAGAAGTCATGAAACTGGCCTGTGCTGACATAACTTTCAACAGACTTTACCCTGTAATTCTGATTTGTTTAACAATCTTAGACTCTCTGTTCATTCTTGTCTCCTATATCCTAATTTTTAAGACTGTCATGGAAATAGCCTCTAGTGAAGAGAGAGCCAAGGCCCTTAGCACCTGCATCTCCCACATCGGTTGTGTACTCATATTTTATGTCACTATGATTAGTCTGTCATTTATCCACAGGTTTGGGAAGAATGTGCCACATGTTGTCCACATTATAATGAGCTATGTCTACTTCCTCTTTCCTCCTTTAATGAATCCTATCATTTACAGCATCAAGACCAAACAAATTCAATATGGCATTATCCGTCTTTTATGTAAACATAGATGTGGAAGTTAAACTCAGATGTGGGTGATTGTCTAGGGAAAATGGTGGGCATATGAGATTTCTCTGAATTGAGAGTAAAGAAATTCCACTAAGTTTTAAAACTTCCTGTAGTAGCCTCCACTTCTCCAAATGATACAATAACGTTTATGAGACTTATAAGAGGGTCTGTCTATGACTTCATTGATTTGCCATTTGTTAAATTCATGGGTTGATTTTTCTATCACTATTCGGTGTTCTTTAGAAATACTAAATCATGGATAGAAATATTTCTAATATGTCTGAAATATTAAGTGCAAACATATTGTTTTTTTGTATCTTCAATTAATTTTTATCACTAAAAAGCATAGATAATTTTGTGGCATCCATTTACATGTCTGTCTTTGGACTTCTCTGCTCATATCTTTTGCTCATTTTCCTATCAGGGTATTTATTTTTTCCTTATTTTTTTTTTGTGGGAGCACATTAATAATAAATGCAACCCCCATCAAAATTCCATTGGCACTCTTTTGTGGGAGCACATTAATAATAAATGAACCCCTAGTGAGCCATTTCTATTGCAAATGATTTCAATTTTTGTCTTTTTACATATATAATTTAGAATCGTGTGTACAAATAACTTTATATTAGCTTTCTTAAGATTTTGGGGGCCATCAGATAAAGGCCCCTCTGATTTCAAGTTTATTTATTTTCCTATTTTTTTGCATAACTTGTTTTTACATATTCTATTTTATAATAGGTTAAAATTTTTTGCATTTTATTTTATTTTATTGTTAGTTTCAAACATCAGTACATTGGTTAGACATTTATGTAGTTTATGAAATGATCCCCCCAATTACTCTATCTTCTCTCTAGCTCTATATCTAGCCATTACATTACTGCTGACTGCATTTCATATGCCGTGCTCCCCGCCCCCGTGACTATCTCTCAGCTACTAATTCGTGCTTCTTTAACCTTTCACCTTTTTCTCCAGCACCCCCATCCCACCCCTCTGGCTGTCACAAGGTTGTCCTCTGTATTTGTGAGTATATTTTGGATTAGTTTGCTCTTTTTGTTCCTTAGTGAAATCATATGGTATTTTTCTTTCTCTGTCTGACTTATTTCACTCAGCATAATAACCTCTAGGTCCATCTATGTCATTGAAAATGGTAGGATTTCATTTTTTATGGCTGAGTAATATTCCATTGTATATATGAACCATAACTTCTTTATCCATTCGTCTGTTGATAGGCATTTAGGTTGCTTCCATATCTTGGCTATTGTGAATAGCACTGCCATGAACATAAGGGTGTGCAGATTTTTACAAATTAGTGTTTTGGTTTTCTTCGGATAAATACCCAGAAGTGCAATTACTGGGTCAAAAGGTATATCCATTTTTAATTTTCTGAGGAACCTCCAGACTATTGTCCATAGTGGCTGTATCAATTTGCAATCGCAACAACACACATGAGGGTTTCCTTTTCTCCACATCCTTGCTAACGTGTTGTTTTTTGATTTATTGATGATAGCTATTCTGACAGGTGTGAGGTGATATCCCATTGTGGTTTTAATCTGCATTTCTCTGATGACTAGTGATCTTAAGCATCTTTTCATATGTCTATTGGCCATCTGAATTTCCTGTTTGGAATACAATCTATTCAAATCTCCTGCCCATTTTTCAATTGGATTGTTTGTTTTTTTGTTGTTGAGTTGTGTAAGTTCTTTATATATTTGGGATATTAACTCCTTAATAGATGTATGTAGGCTAATATCTTCTCCCATTCAATAAGTCGTCTTTTTGTTTTGCTGATGGTTTCCTTTGCTGTGCAAAAACATTTTTGGTTTGATATAGTCTCAATGTTTATTTATTCTTTTGTTTCCCTTAGCCAAGGAGATATATCCAAAAATAAATTACTGTTAGCAATATCAGAGAGTTTACTGCATATGTTTTATTCTAGAAGTTTTTTTTTTTTTGTCTTACATCTAAATCTTTAATCTATTTTGAGACTATTCTTGTATATGGTGTTAGAAGGTGGTCCAGCTTCATTTTCTTTCTTTCTTTCTTTCTTTCTTTCTTTCTTTCTTTCTTTCTTTCTTTCTTTCTTTCTTTCTTTCTTTCTTTCTTTCTTTCTTTCTTTCTTTCTTTCTTTCTTTCTTTCTTTCTTTCTTTTCTTTTTTTGCATGTATCTGTCCGCTTTTCCCAATACTATTTTTTGAAGACTGTCTTTACCTCATCCTATATTCTTGCTTCTTTTGCCATGCATTAAATGAGTGTGTAGACATGGATTTATATCTAGGCTCTCTATTCTGTTCCATTGATTAATGTATCTGTTTTTATGCCAGTACCATGCTGTTTTGATTACTATAGCCTTATAGTATAGTTTGATATCAAGTAGTGTGATATCTCTAATAGGGTAATATTTTGAGAAAAGTAAATTAGTCCTCACTGCATCTATTTTCAAGGTAGTAACACTGATATTCAGTTATTCAACCGGCTGATATTTTCGGTATGAGATAGGAATAATGTTAAACAAAAATTGCCTAACTGCAAGCAAACAGATGTAAAATATTGACTATGCAGATCACAACCTACTGGAGAGTCAAAGATCAAATAAACCTAAATTTAAAATAATCCTTGTGACCAGTGACAAAACATAAAGAATAAACTGCTTTGAGAATGTGGGTCTCATCAACTGAGGTAAGGGGAAAGCTTCCTTGAGGCATGTTCTGGAGTTGAGATTTGAGGGTGGATTAGAAATTAACTGATGAAAATAGAGATAAGAATGTTTTAAGCAGAAAGCTGTCTGTGAGGAGGCTGAAGCTGGGATGGATCATGGGACCTTTTGAGAATGTGGCTGTCATGAAGAGAGTGATAGTTCTAAGGAAAGGTGAGAATGAGAAAAGGAGGTCAAATCAATAGCATCCTGTTGGCCACGGCAAGGGTTTGTGTGTTTGCCCAAAGTACATGGGAAGATATTGACTAGTTCTAAGCAAGAGAGTGACATGATTTCAGTGATGTTTACAAATTGTAAGTTCAGGTATGCATAGATTTGAGTGAGGCAAGAGGGGAACAAGGAAATCAAAAAGAGTATAGCATACCAGTTCCAGAAAGAGATATCAGTAGCTAAAATTATTAAAGTGTTATAGTTTTCATTATATAGGTACTTCACATGTTTCATTAGGTTTATTCCTAGGTATTTTATTCTTTTTGCTGCAATTGCAAAAGGAATTGTAATGAATACTATGACTCTATTAAAAGAAATTGAAGAAGACACAGTCTGGAGACTCTGCTCAAGTTCAAATTATACTACAAAGAGACAATAATGAAAATGGCATGATAGTGGCAGAAAAATAGGCACACAGACCAGTGGAACAAAACAAAAAATCAAATAATTTCTATAGGCAAATAATTTTTGACCAAAGAGCCAAAAATATACAATGGAGAAAGGAAATCCTCTTCAATAAATAGTGCTGGGAAAATTGAAAAGACACACACCAAAATTAACTCAAAATGGATTAAGGATCTGAATATAACACCTGAAACAATAAATGGCATAGAAGAACCCATAGGTATGAATCTCAAGGACCTTGAACTTAAAAAAGATTTTATTAATTTAATCTTAAGGCAAGAGAAGTAAAAGCAAAAATAAATAGATGGAAATATATCAAACTAGAAGGCTTCTGCAGAGCAAAAGAAATCATCAACAAAGTAAAGAGACAGCCATCCGAATGGGAAAATATATTTGCAAGCAATGTCTCTGATAAATGCCTAATATCCAAAATATACAAAGAACTCATACAACTCAATAACAACAAAAAACCAAAAAATCCAATTAAAAAACAGTCAGAGGACCTGAGCAGACACT